TGACACACACTGCTCTCTCTCTCTCTCTCTCTCTCTCTCTCTCTCTCTCACACCCCCCCCTCCACCCCACCCCCAGGAGGCACACTCCACGCCCCAGGCTGCTGAGAGCAACACAGCCCCGCCCCCACCGCTACGCCGGAGCATGCGCACTGGACCTGCGCCGGCCGGGCTCGGACTCCATTTCCCAGGAGGCGCCGCGGTCCTGCAGCGGTTGCCTAGCAACCAGGTAAACGAAGAGATGGAGGAGGAGGTGGCCTCAGGTACAGAGCGCAGGGGCGGGTGTGGGGGGACCCCCGCGGGGGAGAGGGTCGTACCGTTCTGCACCCCCTCAGGGGGGCTCGCCTCGCTTCACACTGCGCCCCCTCTACAGAGACCCGGCCTCGAACGGTGCCCTACAGGGGATCCCCCGCTCCTCCTGTTCCCATGGGGTGCCCCGTGCAGGGGATCCCGCCCCTGCTGCCCCAGGGGCTTTCTGAGCTCATTGCACTTTCTAAACTCGGCTCCCATGCCATTTTTTTTTAATGAGAAACAAGGGTTTTGGGTAATATCTGTAATAGATCTCCTTTCTATCCTGGAGCTTCCATAGGCGTGTCTAGCTATAAACTGAGCCGCAAGTTGGTATTGCACACAGAGGTGCACTGAAACCACCTGCTGGTAGAGAAATAACCCCCCTGTAGTTATCACAGGTAAATACTACCTTGCCATGAAGGATTATGCTTATAAAAAGAAATCAAAAGACATGGCCGTACCCCAGCGGTTCCCAATCTGTGGTATGGATACCACCAGTGGTACACAGACAGCCTGTCAGTGGTATGTGTTAACAGATTTTTTATAATTACTTTATGTGACAAAAATTTGCTGGTGGTAGTTAAGGTTGTGTCGTTTTAAATTGTCGGTAGGTAATCTGTTAGAGTTTGGGAACTGCTGCCATAAGCAGAATACAGGAGCAGAAAACTTCCTAAATAACAAGGGTCAACCCAGTTTGATGGCCCTGCATATGCAGCCCGGTCATCCCAAAAGGAGTTCTCTCCCTCTTTACCCCCTCTCCCCAGTATCTTTTCTTAAAGCCTTCTCCTGAGCCACTGTGCAAAGGCAGAAGGAAATTGAACTATGGTTAATATTTCATTCACTAGGAACCAGACAATAGTGAACTGACCCCCACCCCGTCCCTGCTGTACATATATATATAAACACAAATGTGCTGCAACTTTTCCTTAGAACAACTGCAAAAAAACAACTCCTTGCCTTAAAGGAGGCATGCCTGAAAAACAAGCCCTTCTCTTATCAAAGTTCATTCAGTCCCTGTCTTAACTGATAGCTGTATTTGCAGCTTGTTCGGTCAGGGGTTCTATCTGATTTCCTAAAAGGGCACAGGTTGCAGGTACTCTTATTCAGAAAAAAGAGCTGCATCATGCAGCTACTGCAGGGCTTGTGAGGTTGGGCTCCATCTAAATGTCTTGTCATGCACTGATTGCAGGAAGAATTGTAGGGCCCCACAGGAGACTTTCCGTCTGACCTATGGCTGCCTTTCAGCTCCTCTTGACTTAGCTGAAACAAGCTGTGCCTACTGTTTCTCATGACCACGTTCAAAACTGCTCCTTTTATTACTTGCTGCAGCTGCAGTTTTACATTTCACTGCTATATATTAAGATCCTTTATAAATTGTTCTTTTTATTGCAAGTTAATGAGTAACTGCTGTGTTGGTGTGACCTGTTCTGTGTTTCCCCTTCACAAAAGGCCTGACTAACCTTTATTCACACCAACAGATTTTAACAGAGCTGAGGATTTGGCTTATATGACAAAAGGGCATCTGGATGATGTGGAGAATAGACAGTTTTAGCAGCTAATGTCAGAATTGTGCATACATTCTATTTTTATTTAACATGTAAATATCTTATACATATGTAACACATAAGCAAGGTGCAAAGGCAGCCTGCTAATGCGGTCTTTCTGACACAGGGGTGATTCTAGCTCTTGGACTGCAACACATGCATAGAAGGTTCACAAGAGAAAGGAATAGGACAGCAGAAGATGGGAAAGGGCTCATACTAATGCAGGCAAAGGAGGGAAAGGGTAAAAAGAAGAATAACACCGGTTGTTGGAGAAGTTTTACAGTTTGAAACAGTTTTACTTCTTTATTATCTATAATGTGTAATCATACAGGTACAGTAATATAACTTACTTAGAAAAGGATGCACAACCCAGAAGAATCTGAGAACCACTGTTCATAGTGACCAATTATTCTCTCCCTCTACTGCAAAGGGAGAGGTTTGTACAAGGATGCTGTGCCTGAATCCTATTTGGCTTCTCCATCTTCTTCACAGTTCGTGTGACCAGACTCTGGAATAGACTTCCAGCAAGGATGGTGCAGGCACCTACCCTGAGATCTTCAAAAGGAGACTGGACACACAAATTGCTGAGGTTATTTGACCCTAGCAGTCTTTCCAGCCCAGAGCAGAGGGGTTGGACCGATGATCTCACAAGGTCCCTTCCAGCCCTAAACTTCTGTGAATCTGTGAATCTTTTGTATCTCAGTCTCTGATTAAATTTCTTGTTCATTTAAAGCCCAACCTCTAGGGAAGGGAAAGTGTTTTCCATCTCTGCTGCTGTCTCTAGAGCAGGGATGGGCAAACTATAGCCTGCGAGCTGGATTCAGCCCACCAAGGGATTCTATCTGGCCCTCAGCAGGTTTCTTGGATCTGCTTGGTCCAGGCATGGGAGGCAGCCTGGGCCATGGTATGTGTGGCCAGTCCTGCCACCCCTGGGCATGTGGTGGTGTGGGGGCAGTGCGGTAGCTGGATTCAGCTTCCTGGCAGCCCCAGCAGTGGTGGCTCACTTTGCCTGGCTGCCGCTGCCAGTCCACCATGCATGCAGAGCTGATGGTGCTAGACAGAATGGGCAGGCAAGTGGTATCTTCATGGAGACTGATCTGAGTCCCCAATGGGCTGGGTGCTTTTGGCAGGGTGGATGGGATGGGGCCATGGGTGAGTGGGGAGCGGTATCTGGGAGTGGGATAGGTGGGCAGGGCTGGGCCTGGGATTGTGAGGCAGTGACAGTGTGGGGCTGGGGGCTGGAGCAGAGCCATGATCTGCTCCCCACACATCCCTGTGATGAGCGCTGGTTCTATGGGCAGGGATATGTAGGGAGCGGATCACAGCTCTGGCCCGGGTCCTGGACCCTGGGCCCGTGCTGTTACTGCCTCATGATCCCAGCCCCAGCCTCAGTCGCCTCTCCCACTCCCAGATGTCTCACCCTGCTTGCCCATGGCCCCATCCCATCTGCCTGGCTGCAAATGGTCACCACCTCTCGATTCCAGTCCTGCCTGCCTGTCCCACTCCTGGACTGCTCCCCATCTGCCTGCAGCCCCGTCCCACGTGCTCAGCTGAGTGTGCGCTGCCCATGGGTGTCTGGGCCAGTCTCTGTGGAGACCTCGCTTGCCCGCTCCATCCAGAGCTCTCTGTTGTGGGCATGGGACAGATGGGCCTGGGGCTGAATAGGATCAAATGACCCTTCCCCCCCATCATGGCCGGTCAGCACCCTCCTTTGCTATACCATGCCGGGCCACAGGTGAGGCCCCACCCTGCCACACTGTATCGCATTAGCAACCCCTGACCCCACTGCACTGGGCTGGGTCAGCAACCCCCCCGGCCCACAACAGATCACCAAAACTCCTTCAGTGGCCCTCCAGTCCAAATAATTGGCCACCCCTGCTCTAGAGCCTCTTGACTGCTGTGAGAAGGAAGGGATGCAACACTTCTTCACCCCAAGTTCTGTGGTTGTGGGGAGGGCGGAGCGAGGATTTCTCCTCTTCTACACTTGTGCCTTAGGGTGACTAACTTCCCTCATAAACAGCCCCAGAATCCACATATGCTGCTGCTTTAGTTTTCCATAGCAGCAACAGGTTTATAAATGCAGTGCAGTACTATGAGTAATCTAATTATAATCTCTCTGGGATTTTCAATAGCAGCCAAGAAAATGACCAGTCAGATTCATTTCATCTTGCTGCTGTTTGGCAAAGCTGTAAACAACACTGCCCAGACCCACAGGTGGAAGATTTCCTTTGTCATCAACATTACTAGAAGATTAATTCTTTTTGAGGACAGTTTAAATTCTTCAGAGTTTCCATTGCTTGCACCTGCTTCTGCCCCTTAGGAGCGCTGTGAGCTAGTATTGTAGCGGCCCTATAATAAAAGATGCAGACTAAAAGGAACATGTAGTGATTTGCCTCAATGGCTTGCTCTTGTTCATAAAGAAAAGGAAGACCCTGCAAGAGAGAGCCCTGAGGTTGTGGTACCTGGAGAGGAGTTAAACCAACAGGAACTTGCAAATGGAGGAAAGTCAGGCACTTCCAAAGATGCTGAAGCAGAGTTGGTCTCAGAGAAGGTGCCTGAACCCTCAACAGAAGGTGAGTGAAAGCTAACACTATATAGTAATATAATATTTTGGTCATTAGGTAAGGTCTCCTTTCCAAAGGAAAAACTCTGAACATTATAAACATGAATGTGTAATTTAACACTATGCATCAAATAAGGGAATGGATATAGGGTGCTCTATGACTCTTCAGATCCATTTCTACAAACTTTGTTACAAAAGCACATGATTTACTTCATGGCCCCTGTACCTATCCAGAGATTGTGTAAGTTTTGATTTTAGTCAAAACCTTCTGAAGCCACCAGGTTCTCTAAAACTGTTTGTCGGCTAAGTATGGGTGTGAAGTCAGAAATCAAATCAGACAAGCTTGGCATAGCTTTGAGCTGCTCTACTTCATATTCAGCTCATCACTGATTATTACTATAAACACATAATTCTATAAACATTGAGTTCTGCCTCCCTTTTTCTGAGCCTCTCAAGGTGCTGAATAGAAGTTGGTATTATTATTTCTATTTGCATTCCTGGGAGCTGAGGCATTGAAAGGTGAAGTGTTTTACCCGAGGTCACACAGGCAGGCAGTGGCAGGGGCAGGGATAGACAACATCTCCCCCGCACAGATTTTCCGACTCTCACTCTTTGGCCCTAACTGCCAGATATGCTTAGTTTCAAAAAATAATAGAAGGCTCCATTATTGTGATTGTTTAATTACTGACTCTTACACATTTAAAATATCAGCTTTAAAATATCAGCTCAGTATTGTGTCTATCTAGCTTTTTACATTTAATTAACTTTTTCAGTAAAGAAAAGGGAAAAACACAGGAGGGTAACATAAATAAATAAGATGTTGCCTCAGTAAATTTGTTTTCACATTATTAAATAATCACGTTTGGATGTACATGCAACCTCAGGGCAGGCATTGGGCTTGTGACCAAAGGGAGTACAACATTTCTGAACCTTCTCAGTACATTTTACATTTATGAGTTAGTATTTAAATGCCGCCTTTTGACTACATAGTAATGCTGTCTTCTACTCCTCAGACCAAAATCTTGTATTTAGCTGCACTAATTTGGACTTTTAAAACCCTTATCTCCCTAAATATCAAATAGGTAAATAGTATTATTATCGTAATGCATAAATGTTTACTGAGACCAACAGAGATGAAGTACCTGGTACAAATTTACCACAAGACAGTGGAAGGTTTGGAGCTAGAGTTCAGGTCTCTGGACTCCCCATTCTTAACAAGTCTAGAAATATCTGTGTAACTCACTTTAGCTCTTTAAGTGGAGATCCTTTTCCAGTATTATGAGCCTCAAACATTCAGCAATCATTAGACAGGGTCAGTGAGATTTGGTTAAGGATCTTGAGATTAAAAGGTAACTGCAGTTTCCACTTTTTTGTCTTTTGGCTCTTCTGCAAACATGGTTTCAGATCTTTCTATGCATTTGTGGCAACTAGAAGCTTTTTTTACTATTTTAAATGGAAGCAGTGATTCACGATCCCAGGAAGTGAAGCTGTAAGAAAAAAATACCCAGTAGTGAAAGACTTGCAGTAAAATCATGAGATTTGGCAGCATATGCTATGAGACTTATAACTCTCCTATTAGACCACCTAAAAAGATTAATGAGATTTTTTTTTATTATGGGGAATGTAACCATGCACACATGTAATCTGTGTAAATATAGAAATAAATTACTGACAGTATTGATCTGTCTGTAACGTGTGCTCTTGTTTTTTAAAGGAGAGAGGGAAAACCCAGAGAAACAGAGATCTGATGAGAAAACACTTGAGAATTTAAACCAGGAGAATCAGGCAGGATGGGAAAAGTCTTACATATCTAGACTAAGTACAGACAGTCAAAAAGCCTGAGGCTGAATCAATTCAGTCTTTGCAGGTTAGTCTAAACTGTGTAGGTTGAACTGATAAGCAAGTGAACAGACATTCACTTCTGATTCTGGAAATGCAGCCACATGCCTGCAGTGGCACATGCCAGAAACTGCAGGGCACTAGAGCGTGCCTTCCTGCTCAGCTGGAGCAGACAGTTTCAGCCAAGGCTAGCCCACCCACCCCACAAGGGGGAGGGAGGTTTGCAGGAAAGGTGCAAAGCATCTTGGGATGCTGGGGGACTGTGATTTAACTTGAATCTGGAGAGAATGCTGGAGAGCAGGACTCTGAGATGGCCTGAACTTTCAGCAAAAGGTAGGATGAATTTCCCAAGTTTACAGGGAGAATATATTCCAGTTATTACATCATTTCCCCATTCTCTCAGTATCCCAGTGACATAGTGGTTGGCAGTACATTAAGCATTTAGTTAGGAACTTGCATAGTTCTTAAGACTTTTGTCTTTTTAGACAAAAGTAGTGGTGACCAGGATGCAAATCATCAACTCCTTACCAGTAAATGTGAATCACCAGCTGTCTCTTTCTCCTCCCTCAGAACTTTCCACCCAGTTCCTCCTTGACCCTGCTCAGTAATGGCACATCCTACAGGAGCTGTGCACTTATCTCCGTGGCCAGAAGTTATCTCTCTTGACCACTTCTCTGACATCCCATGCTTGTTAGACCTGCTTCTCCAGTCGGAGCTGCAATAAAGGCCTTTTTTTTTTTCTTTTTTTTTTTTGAAAGGCTGTTCTCAAAGCCCTCGGTTACTTAACCCTTTTTAATCATTGCTTAAATTGTTACTCTCGTAGACATGTCTTGTGTCTAGGTACTTTGGGTCCAGCTGCTATTTCTGTGCATCAGTATATGATGTTAGCATGAAGATGTGGCCTGTCAGTAAGCCTGGTGTGGCTCTTTGAGGGTATTTTCTGAAGCTTTGTCACATTATTTCTTGATGTTGCACTTCATTCTTTCTGTTGATGCAATTTTTTTTCTCAGAATGTTCTTTTCTCCTAAAAATAAAACAGTTCTAATCAATTAAATGAACTCTGAATAACAGGAAGTACATTGCAAGACAGGAGGAATTGTAATGCTTCAGAACTGTATGTGCTTTATTTTCTAATCATGGCAAGTACAAGCAAAATAGGTAAATACAGTCTGTTGGAAACCATTCTTAAGAAGTGAAAATTATTGTAATTTTTCTTTGTAGAGGAAAGCAAAAGTAGTCCTCCAAAAGAACTACCAATTGAAGGAGGGATACCACCAGCAGAAGGAGAGGAAGAAGGTATAGAAAAGTCTGTGGAAAATAGTGAATCTGATAGTAGCAGTATTATGCGTGAGTATTGTCTAACACATGATTTAGATTTAAACATCTTGCTACTTCCTGCATTTTTTGCCTACTGCTGTAAGACATAACGTCATCTAAAGCTATTGCATCTAAAGTGCATTAATTATCTTTCTCTGCTTTTTTCCCCCTGCTGGTGTGCTTTTTGCATTTCACAGCACTAACCATGCAGCACGTTCCACTTTTTTCTTTCTACAGTCTCTCTTCACTCTGATTTTTGTAAATCCACAAAAATTGGGAAAGGAAATTTATTTTGAGGAACGAAACTTGGAACTATTTTTACTTCATTTTTGTAACTGACTGGAATTCACATTGATATTATTCTTTTAGTACATAAAGTTTCAGTAAAAAACTGTCCAGAGTGATCTGTCATTAGTAAGACTTTGTTAGTCTTCAGGGGACTTCAGGGGACCTTGCCATATGCAAGTAAGCGAAGAACTGAATGCTTGTACTGATTATTTAGTATAATGACATATGTGCAATATCTACTGAGGCTATTTAGGTAAATGTGATGTCTTTTATAAGACCAACTGAATAGTTGGAAAATTTGTTCTTTGCAAGCTTTTGGGTTCAGGTGTCCTTCCTGAGGTACCGGGAGAGTCTGGTGGTCTGTATCTACTCTCTATGGTTTGAATAGAACCATAAGCCAATATGCAAAATGCAGGTCTGTGAAATGCAAATGCTTGGCATGGAGGATTAGAGCAAATAGGAATTAATAGGTGAGGCAGGTTGGTGGGAGCAGGGAGGAGGAGGGGGAAAATAAAAGAAGGGAGTATCCACAGGTGACAGAATGCAGCTGGGAAAGTATAGAGTGGTTACCTGGGGTTATCGGATGGCAGGAAGGTTATACTGTGCCATAAATCCAAAGTCTATATTTATTCCATGATTTTTTGTATCTAGTAGATTTATGAAGTGAACTTCATTGGCTTGTCTATGAAAGGTGCTTTGTAAATTCCAGACCAATAGGGCTACAACCAATACCCCCAATATCTACTGAAGCCTTTAACTTGGCTTAGTTTTTAAATCTAACTGGGTGCATCTACACATGCAGTTAATCAAAGCAATACGCTCTAGAGCAGTTTGAGCCATGTCAAACTATGTCCGGCCTCAACATCTACATGTAAGCTAGGGACAGCAGGAATTTGAGCCAGGGCAGAGCAGTTTATACCAGGGCCACTCAGCCCTGGGCTCTGGGTGGCAGCAGAGGGGCTGTCTAGGGCACAAGACTGCTGAAAGTATGGAGCCATGTGGCTAGGTGGCAGGCAAGAGTCTGGCCCGTGGCTGCCTGGGCTGACCAGGCACAATTTATGCCCGTGGTCAGTGTCTATGGGTGTGTTTAATCTCAGTAAATTACCCCACCATAAGATAGCACTGTCCCCTAACTGCGACATTAATTAGTTTACTGTCGCCTAATACCCTTGCACAAATAAACGGTGATGCTTTACTCCACAGCTAATTAATCTAGTCTGCAGTTAAGCGCTTACGTAGACATGGCCACTGTGACCTAAACATCAAGTTGAGTTTAACTAAAATTGTTTCAGTACAATTAAGATGGCAAAATTTAAGTTCAATAAAGATGAATTATCTTACAGATATAGAAATTTTATCCTGTGCATATAGGGCCTTGAAGTTTCAAAATGTTCTTATTATGCAGGAACATTTGTTGTAAACTTAGTGGAGGAATTAGTTTCTTGCAAAGTTAGCTGATGCATTTTTGGATGTGGAGTGCCTATTAGTTTTCTGAGGAAAGGAAAGAACAAGGATTCCACTTTTGCAGTTAAATATAAACATCAGTATCATATGTAAAACTTTTCCATGCATTCCCATTTTTGAACTATAGAGGAAGATGTGGAGGAGCCTGAAGATACTGAAAAACATCCAGAACGAAAACATAAACCTGAGAAGCTGGAAAAGAAAATCTCTGAAACCTTCTTCTATAACTCTGAAGATTTGTGTTCACGACCATTTGTGACTTCAGACTCTGGGATACCCAGTAACCTTCTTGTTCTCATGTATCCTTCCTCTCCAGCCTTGTGTGGACCAAGAACGAGGGTTTTCATATATGAAGTAGTCGGGCCTTTTCTTACACTAGTACAATATAATCAGACGTCAAAGGTCCATCCAGGCTTGACAGTTTACTGAGCTAGTGAGGTTAACGCAGGGTAGTTTCTGTAGCCAGTGGCATGCATAAGGGAATGACGTGACCTGTATAATATCCAGCCACCTTTGATTCCCACGGTCAGCTGAGGAGTGGCATTCAGGATGAGTCTCAAGCTCATACCTCTGAAGCAGTAGTGAGAGACCTTGACTTCTCTGTTACCACATACCCTATTTCCAAGACATCTCCCATTAAAAATGTGTGGTCATACACATTGATATAGAACTGGTGAGCTTGAGGTCTGAATTGTGCCAGTCATGTTTAAATTCACTTTGAAACATAAGTCTAGAGTGTTGATCTTGAAGGCACTTAATACTAGGCAGAGAGTTTACCAGCATGAGTAGTTATTATAATGGATTATTATGTGTCCCACCCTAATATGGCTGTGCAGGGAAATATGGAGAGTAGGAAACAACCTTGCCTCCCCACATCGCAGACCTGCAAAGAGTTACACTTCTTTGTAATTCTTTGCAGAGGCAGAGGCAGTGGGTGAGTGTAAAACATTGCGTTGGTTCTGTGTCTTGCCTACAGTTCACTTCCTAATAATTTGATAAACTTCTTATATTCCCTTTGGAAAAAGAGCATTGGGGCATTAGGATACCAATTACTTGGGAAGCCATAGAGGATCTGGATAGGCCACCGAAAGCAGATTGTGTAATGGAATTAGAAGGATGGAAAACCAACCTTTTGAAGGTTTCACTTAGGTTTTCCTCATTTATAAAATCTTGATTTTCCTTAACTCTATACTGAACACAGTCTTAAAATAAATCTTGACCATCCAAATCAGCATTCCCATCTATGTTTGTTCTGATACTTTTATTGTTATTGCCTGGAAGAAATAAAAGTAGAAATCTGGGATGAATTATTTTCTTTAATAAGCTGTTGTCAGACACTCTTTTGGTTATGACTGCACCAGACGGGCAAACTTGCAGGTGTTGGATAGTCAGATACTGCTCTACATAGCTGGCAATCAGCTTGTACTCCTAGACATGAAAGCTAAATATCAGAGTTACCTCCGGAGCAGCAGTGGTGGAGGGATTGGTGTGATCACGGTATGGCTTTTTATTTCCTACAGAAGAGATTCTTTTCTAGAGGTTACTCATAATAGTGAAAACAGGTTAGGTGTCTTAAGGCAGGGCTTTCCAACTTTGGTGTGGCCAGGGGCTGCATGCAACACTAGCGTGCAACCCCCATGCTGCAGATAGCATGGGCTGTACCCTAGGGGAGTGGGCTCCTGGGATCTACCCCTATGTGCACACAGTGCTGGTGGCACACAGCCCCACAATATCTGCCCCACACTATATGGGCAGTGCCAGAGGTGTGTGGCTCTGTGACAGGACCAGCTCCAAGGGTGGCTGTAATTCCCTCTAGTGGCGAAATTACCTGTCTCTCAGGTCTTCAGGGTAACTTCCTCACTGTCTGACTTGATACATCTTGTAGAAATGATATTTTACGTTGGGAGGATGTTTCCCAAAGTCCTTGAGTGTGTGCCCCCTGGGCCCATGTGGCCTAGCTGATTGGGCCCTGTTGACCTATCTCCATGCCCTCAGCATTAATTTGCCTTAGGGGCATTAATCATGGCCTCCAGCCATTCCCATAGTCATGCCCATGTCTAGCATGTACCACTCCATTATTTTTCATGGGACTTGCCAGCCCTGTCTGCACTCTCTGCCTGTTGGGCACTAATCATTTTGGCTGAGCCTTGGCCTTCTTCTGATCTTGGTTCCTTTTCTCTTGCTGAGACCCTTAGCCCTGGTCCACTGTTTGGGGCTGTGGCTCCCTGGCCTCATTGCATCCCTGCCCTATACAGGACTTAACACAGAGTACCCCCTTGGCACTCTGCTGCATGGCCTCCAAATTTCCCCCGCAGCCACAACCTGGTCTTCCAATTATAAGCCAAGACACCAGCAAACTGCTTCTGTTGACTTGACATAAGTCAGATCAATGCTCGGGATCTCAGTATTGCACTGTTAGGTAGCAAGGTGCGACACAAAATTATACACATGCACACAAACTACACATACAACGCTATGGGTCCACACACACATGCACATACACACAAACATGCACTTCAGTGGTGACTGTGTGTTAACACTAGGAGGTACCTGGGGCCACTTGGTGCCTGGGGTTATTTGGGGTCACTTGGTGCCCTGGGGTTTCTTGGGGGCGAAGGAAAATCCAGGAGACAGAGAAGGTGAAGAAGTGGAGCCAGGGGATCAAGCCCAGGCAGCAGAGAGAGAGCCGAGCTGGTCTAAGAAGCTGGGAGGAGCAGCAGAGAGGTGACATGAGGGGCGGTGGAGGAAAAAGCCAAGAGTTGGGAGGTAAAAGTTGGAGGAGGAGGAGGCTGGGAGGTAAGGAGCTGGGAGACACAGAAGCTGGAGGCTGCAGGGGCCAAAGAGAGAAGCCAGGTGGCAGTGAGGGTTAAAAGATCAGAGAGTCAGGATGTCTAGAAGTGGGGGAGCTGGGAGGCAGAGGGCAAAACCAGGCCTGAAGCTGGGAGGCAGGTTAGGGTTGCAGAGAGCTGGGAGGCAGAGGGCAGAACCGGGGGAAGCTGGGAGATGGTGGGGGTTAAAAGATCCGAGAGCTGGGGAGAGACAGGAGGAAGGTCAGAGGGCAGACAGCAGAGATTGGAGCAGGGCTAGGAGATCAGTAAGACAAAACTCAACTCGGGGTTCCAGAATAACAGTTTTATTAAACAGGCAACATGCTATACAGCCCATGAAGTTATTGGTTCCCACACACACACACACACACAAACTCTCTCATACACCCCCACAATGATAGCAAGAGAGGAAAGGCTTAATGGAGGGATTGAGGTCAAGGTGTGCAGGGACAGAGCTCAGGTCCCTTGTTTGGGGGAAGAAAGTGGGTGATAGCTACCTATGCCAAGCTGAGAGTTGATCCTCAATAGCCAGTTGGGGTCTTCTCCAGCAAGGTGTTGTCCAGAGGGGGTCGCCGGCAGGGCCTCTGGGTGGATAGGTGGCGTGGTGTAGTGTTGGTCCAGATGAAGAGGGCATCTCAAGGAGGTCACACTCTACCACCCCTTTTATAGGGGTGGGCTACCTGTGACTCCAATGGGCAGGACATGCCCAGGCAAGGGCCAGTCCTGTTCAGATGAGGTCATGCAGTTCCAAGTGTCCTCATTGTCTGGTGGGATACAATGATGGGGTTGCTGGTTTCTATTCTGTTCTTTGTTTCCATGTTACTGGTTTCTTGGAGGGTCTTTAGCTTTCAAATATTGAGTTTTGTCTCTGGTCTTGGGAGTAGGTCTGTGGTTTCAGGGAGAGTCAATGCAAAGCGGTGATCCATTTGCTAAGTTGATGGTCCAGTCATTAAGTTGATGGTCCAGTCATTTGGCAGGAGCTATTTTTAGGCCTGCTGCCATTATGTCTCAAGCACCCTCATTCACTCTCATTCATCCAGGAACCAATTTACATAGGAGAGGTAGATAGGAGTCACAGCTGCAACACAATTACAATAGAGTATGCCTGGGCAGGGGACACAAAGATGGAAACTTAACATTACAAGATGGAGGCTTGACGTTATTTTGGTTAACTTACAGGAACAGGCCTTAATCATACAATATCAATATAAAACAATAAAAATCAATACAAACATACTAGGAATACAATATAAACCAGTAACAATCAATACAAAAATAACAGAACACTATTTACAATATAAAAAGGGGCTTGTCACAATAATGGAATACAGAAACTTAGCTTATCTATGGCAACTTATAACTACTTATAAGGGATAGAGAGGGCAGAGAGAAAGTCAGAAATGGTTGGGGAAGGGGAGGGAATGTATTTTTAAGTAAAAAAAAGTAAAACTGGGGGGTTTGCTACACTTCTAGCTAAAATCAGATATCACTCTGGGTCACTGACCCCCAGCTCTTCATCCTTCCGTCATAGCTGTCTCCTTCCAGCCCTTATGGGCCTGCAGGTGCATCTACTGCAGCCTCTCTCCCTTGGAGCACCTCTCCCTGAAGAGGGCAGAGCCAGACTGCCTGCTCCCATTCAGGAGCTGAGTTTCTACCCCTCTGGGCACCATTCTTCTGGTCCCATGGCTTCTCCACCATACACAAGTGTTTCCCCTTAGCCCAAATAAGCCTCCTGCTCCTGCTGTCCTGCTGTTACCTGGCAGCTCAGTCTTTTCCTCTGAAAGTGACAAGGGCAGAGGCTCCTGTTACAAACCCCGCACCCCTTGTCAGGTGTTTCCCAGCCAGTGCACCAAATGTGCTAGAACCAGCCTCAAGGGTGGCCATAATGACCCCTGTTGGCCGATCTACCTATCTCCCTTTACCTGCAGGTGGGACAGTGAGGAAGTTACCCTGAAGAGCTGAGGATGATAGGTTGCCTGGTTGCTAGAGTGTGGTACAGCAACTCTCAGGGTAGGCTGCATGTGCAGTGCATGACCTCCCACCCTCCAGTGTGGGGGCTTCACAGGCAGTGAACAATCCCTTACCCCTGTGCTGCACGGGCAGTGCTAGTGACATGTCCTCCTGGGCCCTCCTCTACTGTGCAGTATGCTACTCCCACATGGTCTGCATGCAGCCCAGGGACTGCCAGTTGGACTGCCCTGTCTATCACTTTGTCTATTCTGACTCCATGATGAGTCCAAGACCACTCTCAAGGAATGTGCCCTGCTCGTTCAGAGCAGGATAGCTGGTGTAGAGTGTCCCTGAGACTGCATCCTGCTCCCATTCTCAGATTCTCTGGCCTGGATGCACCACTTGGCACATACTCAAGGTTGCTCTAAATTAGCTATACTACATAACTTCTTGGGTTTTGGCCTGCACTGAACAGGAGCGAGCAGGTGGGGTTTGCTTCTCTCTGGCTTATCACACAGGCATGGCTTGAGTTCCTCGATGGGAGATTTCCATAACTTCTGCTCTACTATGGCATGCACAAAATAGTAAATAGCAGTATTGATTAAAGGGTTGGCATGAAAGTGTAGTCATCTTAAATATCTCAGTCAACCAATGTACACTACCTGACTTGGGCAGAAAGGTAGCAGATTCATGTCTAGGCTTCAGGGCACATTACCAATATACTCACAAGATCTGATGAGCCATCTGGAATTCACTTTTTGTGGTTTTAATGTTTTAATTATTAAAGTGCCCTAGATAAAACCAACTCTTTTTGTTCAATATTTCCTCTCTGCTAATTACACTTTATACTAGTTTAATGTTTCATCTATCCTACAATTTGGAACTTCAAATACATAGGTAAATGAGAAATGCAGCCCACAAAAGCTTGTGATATACATACATAATACATACGTGTGTGTGTGTGTGTGTGTGTGTGTGTGTGTATTATCTTTTGGAGTCCCACAGCTAGTTAAATGGCCCTGTGTGCTATATTGGGCATATAGGGCCTGGTGGAAGACGGGCAGAGCACAATCCTTTTGCACTGAGGCAGGCAGAGGTGGTATGGTCTGATCCAGGTGGAAATGGTGTGGGACTGATCAGGGTGCATGGGGACCAATCCAGGATGCACAGGATCAGGGCAGGCTGTGCAGGGCCTGATCTTGGTGAGATGGTGTTGGGCCCAGTCCTGATGCCTGGGTCCTGATCTGACCTGTGGACCAGCCCTGCGCTATTCATCCACACCATGAAGCCAAAAGGTTGAGCACCACTGTTCTGTAAGGTGCAAATTTACCCTGCCTCTAGCTGAATCAGTTATTTTGGTTTTAGTACCCTTTAATCCATGATTAGTAGGCCTACGCGAATAGGGAAGTATTCGATTCGGATTCAGATTTGGCTGATTTAGAGGACAGTGATTTGATTCAATGATCTGAATCACTGTCCCCATTCAATTCGGCCAAATCAGAATTGGAGACAGCCAGCAAGAGGCAGGCACAGCTGGGTAGCTGCAGGTTCTCCTGAGACTCCTCCAGCTGTGCCTGTATCTCCCCAGCTGGGGGAGCTGCAGAAGAAGCTCCCATGGCTGCCCTGCATTCCCTGCCTGGCCCAGCCTCCCGGAACTTAAAAATAAATAAAAAGCCCTGCACTCACTGGCTGCAGCAGTGGCAATTAGGGCATCTGAGGGCTCATTAAAGAGTCCCTCTGCACAGCACGTGGCAGCAGGGAGTGCCTCCCCAGCTTGGCACCCACATGGCAGCTGTCACATCATGCAGGTGCAGTGGGAGGGTGCCACACGCTGTCTGGGAGCTGAGGTGTATCTACCTGTCAGCTGGAGCCTGGCACCGCTCAGTCCCAGCAACCCCAGCAACCCCAGCTCCCAGACAGTGTGTGGTGCCCTGCCAAGCCACACTGCACCGCACCATAGGGCAGCTGCCATGCAGGTGCCAGGCAGGGATGGGGGGTGATCCCCGCTACCCCCCACTGCCCCGTGGCGTTGGAGGGGGGAGAGCTCTGCCACAAGCACCCAGAGCCCCCAATCCGCAGCTGCCTCGGCTGTGCCTGTCTCTCCCTGGCCAATCTGAATCTCTGAATCTCTCTGAATTGGTTTGGAGGCTTCAGATTTGATTTGGACCTTTTAATGGGTCTCCTGGTTAGATCCTGATTTGGAGATTCAGCTGCCGAATAGGGCCAAATCTCCTCCGAATCGAATTGGCAACCAAAACTTTGCACAGCCCTGATGACTAGTCCCACTGTTTATTGATAGTATTCCACATGAGTAAAGCTTTCAGAATCTGGCCCTGTGCTTCTCTGTTACATTGTAAATAATTCTTAGAGAATCACATCTGCTCTTTACATCTTATCCATATTTCCTTTCTTCAAAAGCAGAAAAAGACACTATAGTTTCAACAGTTGTTCAGGAGGAGATGGGCAAGTGAGCCAGGTGCAAATGAGATGTAAAAAAAGGCTTATGCATGGTTGCACAATTTATGTCATGATTCTGCGATATGTGTGAAATATAACTCAATATTGAGTTGAATACTGCCCAAGAGATCAGGAAAATATCTAAGAGGGTCTTTGCTTTTTCTAGGTACACCCTAGTAAGCAGTATTTTGCAGTAGGAGAAAAAGGAAGGAAACCAAACATCATCATCTATGAATATCCTTCATTAAGGCCCTATAGAATATTGCGAGGTATGTTAACTAGGACTGCTTCTCCAATATTATGTGGTCAGGGCAGTGTGTATAGACTCCAGCAAGTGGAGTAATGTCACATTTTTAGGTTTAAAAATATTTTTAGGTACTTGAAATGAGGGTAAAGACAGTTGTCCATGATTGTCTTTGCATTTTGGGGTATCTGAACATTTTCAAACAGCAGCAATAGCCAATTGGTGACTATTAGCTGCTGAAACAGTAGTAATAATGACCGCAGGAGTGGAGATCTCATTGAGCTGCCTGTCCTACCATTCTCTTTTTCTTTCTTTTTGGGGCGTCTGTCCTTCCAGGTGGGACAGAGGAAGCCTACACATTTGCTGATTTCAACCATTCTGGCAGCTTACTAGCCAGTGTTGGTAGCAGCCCTGACTACATGTTGACAGTTTGGGACTGGAAACAGGAAAAGATTGTGTTGAGGTCCAAAGCTTTTTCACAGGATGTTTATAAGGTCACATTCTCACTTGAAAACGAAGAGCAACTAACTACTTCTGGAACAGGACACATCAAGTAGGTTTGCTTAATGTGCTGAATATGAAGTGTCAAGAAAGTCATGAATCCTACAAGATGACTGATTAGTAATGATAGCAATAATTGCTAACAGGTGAAGACCAATGGAGAATGCTGTTCCATTTAGGAATAATAATGGCAATGATTAAAAGCTGTTAAGACCATACAGACAGTCAGGTTGCTCATATAGCTTACTTTTTGGTGCCTTTGCTTTTTCCAAATGAGGTGATTTTTACTGTTGACCATCCAAAGTGCATTTGGAGTGGTTCTTGGCCAGCCTGTCAAATAAAAATGGAGTAAAAACTTTAACCTTTTTTGAGGCAGGGAACAAGACCCTATCCGTGTTCTGTGTCTGAACACTGCTCAACACAATAAGGCCCAATAGCCTGACTGGGATGCTACTGCAGTACAAATGACTTATAAAATGATAGCAGTGATTATTTTGAAGTCCTTTTGAATTTATAGAAGAATCAGATTTATATCCCTAGATCTCATTTTGCTTCTAAGTTGGATCTAAAGCAAGAAAAGAGCGTATTTTCCATATCCAGATCAAATATGTCCAAAACCTTTGAAGGGTTTATTGATTGATTTCATATAAGATTTCCTCCACTTTGACTTAAAGCATTTTGGGAACACTTTGAAAAAGAGCCATCAGATCTATCCTTGAGCATTAGCACAATTCAGTGTCGAACCCTGAACCCCAACCATAGTTAAAATAAATGTGGACTAACTATGACCTAACTATAACTATTTCTAATTGCAATAAGAGAGATCAGTTTATTTATAATTCTTTCATCCTAAGATTTTTCTGTATCTGGTGAACATTTCTGAATGTGTAAAAGTAGCTATGGACCTATAGGACCAACCTGTATGCTCATGTAGATTTATGCAACCCTACCACAGTCCTTGGAGTTATGCAGAAAGTGTTTAACTGTGTATATATTAAGGGTATAAACATGTGAGCATCTTACATTGAAGCTCAACTAGAGAATAGTAGGCTTTTCCAGGTAAATATGGAAAATACAGCAAGACTGGATATATAAATTGGTTTATGATCTATTTTAAGTACTAATTTGGTTACCCCATCCTTCCCCGGCCAACGCATTTCACATAGGTTATTTCTGGGAGTTGGAGGGGAACAGTTTTGGGGAGCTAAGTAGTTCTATAAGAATGAATGTGGATATAATAAAGTTTTCTCTCATTTAAAAAAAGCAAATGCAAAACCTCATATTTAAAAATAAATAAGTTAACAAACTCTGCACCTATTGGACATATCCCCATACGGTTCCCTTCTAGATTGAGAGATACTAAAGATTATGTTTTAAAAAAACCCCTGTAACCCAGAAGGCTCTGTTTCCTATGCTCAGGTTCTGGAAGATGGCCCACACCTTCACTGGCCTCAAGCTACAGGGGGCATTGGGCAGATTTGGTAAGACAGCAGTGACTGACATCGTAGGGTATGTGGAACTGCCTGATGGGAAGGTGAGTCAGTAAGAGGTGAACCTGTTTACTACTTCTCCCTTGCAGGGACTGCTCCAGAGTCCACTGAAACCAATGGGAGTCTTACCACTGACTCCAAAGTGATGTGTGCTCTGACAGTTTAATCCAGTCTTACATTCAGCCCCCATAAGCCAGTGTAGATCTTAAATTAAAATAAGATGGTTTATTTTGTAACCATTTAAAAATATCAATTATTATCATGATTCCTGGACAAAAGAGACTTGTTATCTAAGGCTGCTGTGCTGAATGCTGTAAACATTAGAACAAAAAAAAATACTAAGACTGTTAGACAAAAAGAAACCCCAAACCCTTAACCATCCCAATGGTCCTATAAGAGTTAAATCCCCTCACCATTTATACATTCCCTAACAAATGCTTATGTCTCAACAGGTGTAGCAGCTCCTGTTTTTCTGAAAAGAACCTCTGGTATTAGTCTGCCAGGAATGCATGTACATGGATAGCTTATAAGATTTCTGTATTTCTCTTCCCTTGCATTGAAGGTGATCTCTGGGTCAGAGTGGGGCAACTTACTCCTTTGGGAAGGGGGCCTCATCAAAGTAGAGCTCTGTCGAACTGGACATAGACCTTGTCACAGTGGCCCCGTTAATCAGCTGGTTCTGGATGAGGGTGAACTGGTCACAGCTGGAGGAGATGGATATGTCAGGGTGAGCCTTTTTGTAGTAGTCTGGATACAAATTGGTGTATAGGGGCTTGCAAATGTTCATAGAAGACAATAATCTTTAGCCTATCTTAGCTAGTTTATGGAGGGAGACTGAGGATCATTCAATATGAATTTCTAGCATAATCTGGATAAAAACTGGAGTCTTTCTACAGTGTTGGCATTTGGATCAGACAGTACTAAAAGACTTCTAACCTATGCTGTAATGTGTCAGTATAAATTTCAGTGATGATTCTAACAAGTTTCTTTCTTGACCAGTCTCTAATATAATTTTTCTTATTCATAACTTGTCATTTTCAAGCCGTATTAATGTGTTAGCTAAGATTTTAAAGGACAGTGGTGTTTGAATGCAATTTTCTGATCATTTTGACATTCATTTAAATCAGTTAGATTTGTGTAACTAACCAGCACCTACGCAATTTTTTATCTCAGAGGCATTTATTTCAATCAATTAATAAATCACTGTCTATTTTAAAATAATGGAACACTCTCAATTTAAAATACAATCCATTAGAAATGAGCTAAAAATCATTTCAGGTTCTATGCCTGCCTTTCCTTCCACCTGCTAGTATTTGGGAGTTTTCCACATTTTTCTTTTCTTTTAGGAAAGTATTCTTCTTTATTGTTGGTAGACCCCCAAAAATGGGAAGCTAAATGAGTATTAAGTGAAAGAATGAGTATATACAAAGCTCAGTTTAATACTGAAACAACAAGGAATAAAACAATGTTCTTTCTCATATAAACTTTCTGTTGTAGAACATCTAAGTGTCGTTTATATCAGTGCATTTCAGACAAGACTTTTTTCCCCCTTAAAAAAGCTTTGATATTATCCCATTTCGTAAATTTTAGCTGGGTGAATAGGTGGTGGACTAACAACTCTTGAAACTGAAATCTGCTTGTTACATCTGGAGCAGGCAATGGCAGTGCAACCTTTTCCAATCTTTCTTTTGCATTTCTTCCATCAGTACGCTATCTGGAGGAAGCAGATACTTTGTTTCCCATCATTTTCAGGTGATGAATAGTGCCAGTTCATAGATTCATAGATGTCAGGGTTGGAAGGCACCTCAGTAGGTCATCGAGTCCGACCCCCTGCCCTGGGCAGGGAAGAGCGCTGGCATCAGACGACCCCAGCCAGGTGCTTGTTCAATCTCTTCTTGAAGATCCCCAGGGTAGGGGAGAGCACCACCTCCCTTGGAAGCCCATTCCTGATTCTGGCAACCCTTGCTGCAAAGAAGTTCTTTCTAATGTCCAACCTAAATCTGCTGTCCGTCAATTTGCAGCCATTGTTCCTAGTTACTCCAGGGGGTGCCCTAGTAAATAGAGCATCTCCTATTCCCTGCTGCCTTCCCCTGATGAATTTATAGGCAGCCACAAGATCACTTCTCAGCCTTCTCTTGCGAAGGCTGAAGAGATCTAGGGCCCTCAGCTTCTCCTCATAGGGCTTTGCCTGCAGGCCTTTGACCATACGCGTAGCCCTCCTCTGAACCCTCTCAAGATTCTCCGCATCCCTCTTGAAGTGCTCCCTCAAAACAGTACTTCAACTGCGGCCTGACCAGTGCTGCATAGAGAGGAAACATCACCTCCCTGGACCTGTTTGTCATCTATAGTAGACCCCCACTACCAAGTCCCCCTGACCCCCTTGTATCCTAACTCACAGTACCTCGGTTTGTCCCTCCTCTGATTCCATCTTGATTATAGAGGATATATATTGTCTTTTTAACATAGAGCGCAACCCCTACACCCCTTTTTTCCCCACTCTATCCCGTCTGTACAACCTGTAACCCTCAATGCCTACTGCACAGTCATGAGTAGGGTCCCACCAGGTTTCAGTTAGTCCAGCCAGGTCAAAGTTGTTGCTTGCAAGCAGAAGTGCAAGTTCTTCATCCTTGTTCCCTATGCTCATAGCATTAGTGTAGAGACATTTAAGCCCCGTGACAGGTGCCCTTGGTATCCCCATCTCCTGATGTCTATCGGGCCCCTTAGTGCTTACCTTAGTGCTTATCTGGGCTGATCATGGCTCATTGATCCTAGGTTTTCATTATCCTCTGCTTCGCCGTCCCCCAATGAACCTAGTTTAAAGCCCTTTGGAGGAGATCAGCCAACCTGTAGGAGAACAGAATCTTACCTGTAGAAGAGAGATGAAGACCATCTCATCCCAGGATGCCTCTTTCATGGAAGTGTGGATCATGGTTGTAGAAGCCAAAACCCACATGATGGCACCAGCTCTGGAGCTGCAGTTGTGATTGGCAGGTTGGCAATTTGGGTGCTATGATAATTATGCTTTTGAAAGTCGAATGAGGTCATTTTACATAGGCTACCAATGTTTGCTGCTTCTCATCATGGATCCAGATTGCATTCAAACTAGCCATGTGGAGGGAAATGGTTCTATATTATATGTACGGAGCTGCCACTGGTTTATTATTTGCTATATGTCCATTGTATCTGTTAATGTGAGTTATGTTGACATCTGGACTGATGAAAGCTCTGCTAGTATTTTTCCTTTCAATTTCTTGAAGGTATGGGACTTTGAAACGATAGACACAGCCGATTCTGTAGATGACACCGGACTACTAGAGATGGAGCATATGAATGAACTTCTAGTTGGCAAGAATGTCAACCTGAGCTTCATGATGAAAATCCATGACCATGGACAACCTGTTTGGTATGCCCAGGTAACACATCATTTGCATTTGTATCAGCTCAACAGAGCAATATATAACAAGAAAGGTGATGATGCAGTATGAGAGGAAATCTACTGTGAAGTAATCTGTTGTTTTTCTGTAGAATTACTATTGTTTCCTCCTACAGTAGTAAAACACTGGTACAGGTGCAGGCTCCTACCCTGGGAGTTTTTAAGAGGAGGTTAGATGAACACCTTGCTGGGGTCATTTGACCCAGTACTCTTTCCTGCCATGGCAGGGGGTCGGACTAGATGATCTACTCAGGTCCCTTCCGACCCTAGAAACTATGAAACTATGAAACTATTTTCTGACTTTGAGAACCAAAAGGAGAAAGTGGAAGTAGGATAATCAAGCTTTATTATCCTGAGCACCTCATCTGATTGACACAATTGGATTCTCTGAAGCCCAAATTCTCTTTCACACAGACCATTTGAAAGTTTTACTGACATTTGTAAAGAATGTTTGTAAGGAACTGGTTGAATACTCGGTTTGAAAAGACATACAAGTATTAAATGTTTCTGTTTCTTTAGGATTCCAATGGAGCAATCTGGAAGCTCGATCTGACTTTTTCAAATGTCGTAAGTTTTATTTTCCTCTTCTGCCCCCTGATTTATATACTTCCCTCCTAATAGCATTTTATAATTACAATAGACGGCTCCGCAGTCCTACCTTGAACAGTTGAGGATTTAGAATTGTGACCAGATCTTGTTATAACTTATTTTAACTGCTTCATCAATTACAGTTATTGACCAGGATTTTAAATATTGATGGAGAGGGTCATTTGACCAGAAAAATTAAAATAAAGATACTTAAGGGTTGCCCCAAAGCAGTTGAAAGCTACGGGAAAACTCTTGTTGATTTCAGTAGTCTTTGAATAATGAAAACTGAAGAATTAAACTGCAAAGCTATTATGGCAAAAAGTGATGTATAAAGTATATTATGAAGATAGGAGTATATAGAGAAACCTATCTCTCTCTTTGGACTGGGAAAAGACTTTTAGTGGCCTACCTGGTTGTTGGTTTAAAGTTATTTTCTCAACTTCTGGAAGAGTAGTTTTCGATTATGAAATTTCTTCCCCCAACATAGTGCTTCTTACTCTAATATGATTCCATTTTATTTTTATGTAGATACTGCCAACATTTTAAGTACAGGTGCTTAATATGTCTGTAGAAATTTGCTCATGACACCATTGTGAAACTGTATTCATAGGCATCTATTATATGCACAGACCCCACGTATTATATGTGCACAATATGTGTCTGTAGAGACAGTAGAGTTCCTCTGAGGTATCCATGTTTGAATGCAAGGCTTATAATGCCTCACACAGCAAGACCTCTTTCCTTGTTTTATTCTGTAGACTCATGATCCAGAGTGCCTATTTACTTTTCATTCTGGGAAAATAGAAGCAATGGATGTGTCTCCTGTCACATACCTCATGGCCACAACTGCTCTTGACCGTAAGTACAGCTTTTTTCTCTCTTTCCCTCATTGCAACTATTACGTTTTAAGGGCAGGGCTGTAGCTCTGACCCATACTTGAGAATGACACTGTTTGAACTGGTGTGGATTTGAGGTGGACGTGTCCCTTTACTTTGTAAAATTTAGTCATTTATTCCTGGGACAGTATCCTGAAAGATAGGACAGATCATTAATGAAATAAAGTGCCAGGTGTATCAGATTTTGATAACTGGGCTTTGATAAAAGAAATTCTCAAAGGGAAGCTTTACAAGCTTTTTTCGTTAGGAGACAATGATTGAAAAGATTTCATATTCAAGGCTCTGTGGGACAATAATGATTATACCAGCTTTTGTAATGCCCTATTAATACCTATGCCTTTCCTAGCAGTTGCCTGTTATCAGCAAAGAGCATGTACCCAGCTTTGGACACTTATGCGTCTTTTATAAAACTTAAAATATATATATTTTAAATGTGTCTGTACAAGCCTTCATACTTAGCATTAGCACTGGTTAGTGTGAGAGAAGAAATATTGGCCAGGACATTAGCATCACTTGTGCTTTATGGCCTTTGACATGTCCTTATCAGCTACTAAGAATGTATTTCTCTGCCCAAATACTAAATTTCTACCAGCTGAGTCTAATTGGCACGTCATCAATGCTATTTGGCATAGAAGTTTTTGCATGTGAATAGATGTCTCTATTAACTCATTAATTCCAGCTAGAATGAAGCTGGCTATTAAATAGATTAAAATGGGGAAGAATCCAGATAAGCATTTTTCTTAAAGCCATATTCAAGTCTGTTCACATCATATTTTCCTAGACTGACAGCATAGGACTTTACCTTAGAACATGTCCGGGTACAGACAGATGAAACAGTTATGCCAGTATGAAATGATCTGGTATAAACCATTACAATGAGGGTTCATCTACATGTGCGATAAATGTGAAGCAATCAACTCTGAAACAGTAAACTACTGCTGGGCTCAGCATCTACATATTCCCTGGGACATTAGTAATTTGACCTGGGGCAGAGCAGCCCCACCCTGCCAGTGAGTGTTGGGGGTAGGGGGTGGTCAGCCTTGAGCTCTGGGTAATGCCATTGGGTAACAGAGGGGCTGGCTTGAGCATGAGGGTGCTGAAAATGCAAAGTCTAGGTGACAAGCAGGAGTCTGGCCCCTGGCTGGCTGGGCTGACCAATTTATGCCTGTAGTCAGTGCAAAGGTAGATTAAAGTTTACTGGGGCCCTGGGCAAATGCAAAATTGGAGGCCCTCTCCCCCGCAGGAGCTGGACCCCAGGGGAAGAGGGGCACCTTTCCCTCCTGGTGCTGCTGTTGCTGCCAAGGGCAGGGTGGGCCTCTATGTCCCATGGGGGAGGCTGGGTGGACTCAGCTGGGTGGGGTGTGGGGGGGCACATGCCCACCTCTCCCCACTGCTTCCCACCCCCACTCCCCTCACCACGGCCGGAACAGAGGCCAGTGGGGTGAGGGTGGATGTGGGCTGCCTGCCATGGGCTAGGGACTCTCCAGTCTGCTGTTGTTGCCCATGGGGGCGCTCTCACTCCCTGTCATAGACATAGACCCACACATACGGATACACACCGTACGCTCATTCACTCCCTGCCATGCACATGGACACACATGCTCTACTCTCACTCACTCTTTGCACATGGGCACAGACACAAACACACTTTCCCTGCCATGAACACACACACACTTTCCCCTTATGGGACCTCCCTGCATCCCCCTCTCCCTCTCCAGTTGATCCCACTGAGGACACTTCTCCTCCCTGCTGTGCCGTGTCCCCAGCCCTGAGGCTTCCTGGGGAAGCGGCGCATGGGGGGTAGCAGGGAGCAAAGCCCTGGGCACAGGGGCACAGGGCATGGCAGTGGGATGTGGGGTCTGCATTGCAGTGCTGCCTTCTTCAGCTCCTT